CAGGCAATTGCACACTTTCAGAGGCTGGTAAGTAGAATTGCCTAGGAGAGGAAATAATTCACTTTAGCTGAGGCAGAGATGAGGAAAATCATATTATAAGGGGAAAGAACACAAGAGTGGAGGTTCTGGAAGTCTCTTCATACAAAACATCAAGACAATAACTCCTCACAGTGCTGTCACTAAGTAGAAACAGCTTAGTTAGAGTGGCTGCCTGTTATTTCTTGAGACCATAACATACTAATGAGTTATCCTGCTCCCAGCTGCTCTCTCTCTCTCTCAACAGAATGTCAATCCCACTATACCTGGTAGGTTGAGATTCTAGTTTTTAGAGGATTTTCTTTCAACACATTCAGAGAAATAGTGAGTCTTCTACAAGATCACAGATGAAGGCAAGAATATTTTACAAGGTGTATGGAGTTTACTCAGAACCAGGATTTCTGGTAGACTTTAAGTCTGGGCTGGGAGGAGGAAATAAATCTGTTGGTTTCCTGAGTGCTCCCGAGCAGCACCTCAAGTCTATAGCAGCTCCTCCAAGGAAACAAGTTAAGTAGAGCAATGGGAAGGTTGGATCCCAGACCTGGAGCTCTCGGGCCTGGAGCTCCCAGTCCCTAAGCGTCTCATGCCCCAGACAGCACACTGGCACTAATTACTTTAAACCTTCGGTTTTGCCACTATGGCATCATTTCATTAATTGCTCTATGTCTAGTGCCTAGAAAGTACTTGGGACTTCATAGGGATTTATAAATCTTTGTTGAATAAATTAATAAATTCATGAGTTTCCCACCAATCCTGAGGATAAAGAAAAACTCAGAGTTCAAACTAAGTTGATTACAAGGTTATGGTTACTGAAATATGATTATTTACACGTTTGAGTTTGTAAACTGAGGGTCATATCAACTATAATTCTAATTCTACGTAGCCATTCTCCCACAATGCCTTTTCTGGCTCAAATTTTATTAGTATTTCTACATTAGTTTTCTTGAAAAACCTTTCATGATGTCATCACCCTTCTCTTGAATCCCATAGCGATCACTTAATGTCAAATTGAGACCACAGTTTTTACTTCTGTTTTCAAGGTTCTCTCCAACCCTATTTATATCTTTGCTCTGCCTTATTAATCACCTCTGGTATTCAACAGACTTTTTTCCTTTCTGGTTCAAACACATGCCATGTTTATTTGCACTTCTAAACCGTGGCTCATGCTGTCCCTACCACTCGGAATGCTTCCTTTCCATCCCATTCAGATCTACTCTGTCCTTAATAATATTCTCACGTCAGGCCAGCGTGGTTTCAGTGGTTTGAGTGTCAACCTATGAACCAGGAGGTCCACAGTTTGATTCCTAGTCGGGCACATGCTCAAGTTGCGGGCTTGATCCCCAGTAGGGGACATGCAGGAGGAGCCAATCAACAATTTGCTCTCATCATTGATGTTTCTATCTCTCTCTCCCTCTCCCCTCCTCTCTAAAATCAATTAAAAATGTTAAAAAATAATATTCTCAGTTCTCAGCATCTTCATGAACCTCCCCATTCCTATTCTGGTACTTACAGTGAACCCATCTGATTTCTGAGTTTGCATGACCAGGACCTGACAGTATTAGATATTTGCTAGACTTGATTATTGATTATTAAATAGATTATTTAACTGAATATTGGAAAAAAACTCACATTGAATATGAATAGATGTTTGGATGATATTTCCTGTGTTATGAAGGTTTTCCTAGAAAATATAAAATTACAGCCCATTTTATTTTATTTTTTTTAATATATATATTTTATTGCTTTTTTCACAGAGAGGAAGGGAGAGGGACAGAGAGCCAGAAACATCGATGAGAGAGAAACACCGATCAGCTGCCTCCTGCACACCTCCCACTGGGGACGTGCCCGCAACCAAGGTACACGCCCTTGACCAGAATCGAACCTAGGACCCTTCAGTCCGCAGGCCGACGCTCTATCCACTGAGCCAAACTGGCCAGGGCTGACAGCCCATTTAAAAAAAATACTTTATTTTTATTTTTATGAAATTTACAATATATAATACTATTTATATCATTCAATTTTGAGTATTGAAGAAAAGGGGCAATAAGTCCCCTAAAGAAAAAAAAGGGGGGATCAGTCCCCTCCATCCGACTAGGAAAATCAACTTGATTACCTTTTTATATACTTTATTTCCTTCTTACCACTTTTCCTTTTTTCCCCCTCTGCATCCAGTTTGGTTGGTCATAGCTAGTATTTCAAGAAAAACTAATATAAAATGTGTACACTGCCTATATCAATCTGGATATAATCAGGAATGGAAACCATATAGTGGGTTAAGTTTAATATAAAGAATTACTAAGCTCTGATAAGAAATTGGGAAACTATATGTGGTATTCTAGGGAGAGTACCCAAGGCAAGACAAATTTGGAGAAATCCACCTTTCCAAGGCTAAGGTTCAGATCCTATTGGATGTGTGGTTCAGCCCACTGGGTAGCAGATAAGTTTGCTGGTATATTCTGGCCACAGCTGTTCTGCAGTCCCTCTCAAGTGTAGGTGATCAGGATCCTGTGGGGGGGAGGGGCTTGTAGAGAGAATGGGGGCCTAGGCACAGGTGTGGCACCCTGGTCTACAGTGAAAGTGATAGCAAGTGCATGGAATGGGGATGCAGGTGTCAGTGAACAGTCAGTGATGACTGAGGGCGCCAGTGTGAGCAGGAGGCCTTGGGAGTCAGTTTTCATGTTGAGAAGGCTGCTCGAAGATTAAGGCCAGGCCAAACCAGACAAAGGCTGCAGGGTTGCTGACCCACTGTGCAACAGCAGGAAATACCAGGAGAACACCTTCACTCCTGCAGTGTCGCTCCAGTGCCCTCTGATGAGAAAACTAAACATAGTACTCTCTGTGGAGGTACCTAAAGGAGTTCTTCCTATTATCACAGAGCATATATTGAAGGGTGAATTGAAGCTGAAAGGCAATCTATATATATAAAAGCCTAAGCGACTGGCCAACCGTTCAACCTTCGACCGGTAGCTATGATGCACATGGACCACCAGGGGGCAGAAGCTCAATGCAGGAGCTGCTGAGCTGTGATGACTTGGCAGCTGCGGTTCTCAGGTGATGAACCGGGAATCAGAGAGGAGGGAGCCCAATTCCAGGGTACGTCACCCGAGAACCACCCTCTCACAATCCGGGACCCCTTCAGGGATGTCAAAGAACCAGTTTAGGCTCGATTCCCGCAGGCCAGGCCAAAGGACCCCACCGGTGCACAAATCCGTCCATCAGGCCTCTAGTAAAGTGATAACTAGTACAGTTAGATGTATTTGTACAGGACAAATGTATTTGGAGAGCATGTATGGATATGCTGGCAAAAAGAATCCATTATCAAGATACATCTGTAATCCTATATAATAAAAGGCTAATATGCAAATAGACCGAATGATGGAACAACTGAACAATCGGTCGCTATGATGTGTGCTGACCACCAGGGGGGTGTGCGGAACATGGTGGGCGTTGGCAGCAGGCAGCAGAGTGTGGAACATGGCAGTGTCGGCCTCAGGGGGATGGTGGAGCAGGTGAATGGGGGCGCCAGACCAAGGCGGGGCGCCGGTTGCTGTCATTGGGGTGAGCTTCTGGGGGTTACTGAAAATTCTTTGCATCCATGTGCCGCTGTCCTGCCAGGTGCTCGCACCTGCTGCCAGCAATGGCCCTGCTTGCCAACCCCGATCTCTCAGCTCTGTCAGTGGGTGTAAGTGGTGCTGCTGGCCCTGATTGCCCCTAAGGGCTTCTCCACCTCCCCCTGCTCCTGAGGGGCAATCAGGGCAGCAGCCGCCGCTCACCCCTGCTGATGGCGCTGGCCCCAATTGCTCTGGGCCGTCAGTGGGTGCAAGTGGGGCTGGCACCGTCAGCGTATGGGAGAGGCAGTGGCAGCGGGAGCTGGAGCAGGGCTGCCGGCAGACAAGGGACTGGGGGCCGCGGTAGGAGGGGCCAGACAGGGGTGCGGAGAATAGGCCCAGACCTGCCCCTGTGCCCACCGCAACCTCGTGGCCCACAATTCTTTTTTTTTTTTTAAATAGAGCATTTATTTTTTAAAAATGTACTGAGTAGACCAAATAAATGAAAATAAACAAGATTTCCCCTCCCCACCTAAAAAAAGTCTTTTTAGATAAACAACCTCAATATTTCCAGATGAAATGGGGTACTGGCGGGGCTGCCTGAGGAGCCGGGAGGTGGCACTTCAGGGTTTGGTGCCGGTTCTTCCCCTTTAGGCTGGAAATGTCTTCATAACAGAGCGCTAACAGCAATGTTTCTGGGTGGTTGGCCCGCTGTACCGCTGACAGTCTGACTATGGGTGAGTGACTGTCCTCGTCTGAAACACAGGAACACGGAGGGCAGCTCTGTGGTGGCTGGGAGGTGGCCTCGAAGAACACAGCTGTTCTGAGGTGAGGGGAACACCCAGGCCAGATCGGGCATCGCAGCTGCACCATGGAGGCTGCCTCCTGGGTGCTCAGTGGCTGTGGAAGGACTTCTCAGTGGCCCCTGGCTCCTAGATCTGATGGTGGATGTGTCCTTCATGCCCACTTGGGGAGAGACTGACCTTCAGCCAGCACCAGGGGTGAGGTGGGTGGCATGTCCCTCAAATGGTCTCTTTGGGAACATGCACCACAAGGGTCCGGGAAAGGGCCAGGAGTGTGGGCCCTGCAACAGCCGGCTATGGCCAAGGGCCCATCAACGCTCTGAACTTGGATTTCCTTAAAAGCTCGGTACCCCATGTCTGGGCCCCTTGCTGTCCTCCCCGCCCCCGCTGTCCTCCCCGCCCCCGCAAGGCCTGCACTGCAGGGCTTGTCTAAGATGGGACTTGGGCATCACTCTTCCCATGTGGACAGGGAGGGTGGTTGACACTTGCTGGGTTCCCTGGGCTCAAAGAGTCCCCCCAGCAGCCCCTCCTGCATGTCAGAATCCTGGGGCAGCCATCCCGTCCTCCCCTCAAGCCTCTGAGGCAGTTCCACCGTGACTTGCTGTTCACACAGGGAAAGTGAGGCTGAGAAGGGAAGGCCCAGCTGGAGGTGAGCTGTGAACCAGCCAGGGAAGGCTGCCAGCCTAACACTCCTGTCAGGTGGTCGGGGGAAACGCAGGGCCATCACCGCCAGTAACGGTAGCGCTTGAAGTGGAACCAGAGCTGGAAGATGCCATTCGCGAACTGGCAGCGAAAGCCGTGGCGATGGGAGTATTCCCACTCGCAGTTGATGATCTTGAAGGCGATGTCCTCGTAGGGCGGCCCGGCGTGGAAGCGCAGGGTGGCGAAGTCCTTGTTGTCGGGGCAGGCCTCCAGGAAGTACTGGGGGGTGGAGCGCTTGTCGATGAGGTCGGGGTAGAAGATGTTGAACTTGTAGCCCTGCACGATCTTGGGCGGGGGGTTGTCGAAGTCGTAATGCGTCTGGTTGTACTTGTTCCACTCGAAGCCCGTGTGCACGCGGTTGAAGAAGCGTGGCTTGCGAGGCCGGTACTTGTCAGCCCACAGGTAGGCTTTGCCCGTCAGGGGCATCTCCACGCTGAACTGTGCTTCGTCCTGGCCCATACCCTCTTTGGCGCGCCGGAAGAAGATGTCCTCCGCACTCTCACTTGCATCGCCTGTGGGACGAGGGAGGCACCACTGAGCTCGTTTCCGGCCCCCCCAGGTGGTGAGAGGGCAGCCCGAGCCTCCCCGCCTTACTAGGCCTCTCACAGAAGAACTGAGGCTCAGGGTCAGGCACAGGGAGTGGCAGGCCCTGCCTGCCCAGTGCCCCATCCTCCGCCCTCCATGCTCACTGTCCTCCCAGTGTGGGCACCGAGCATATGCATCCCGCCGAGTGGCCGGAGCGCCTGCGGTTACAGACCGGCCAGGGGACCCCGGGCAGGGCCTTCCTGAGGCTGTTCCCCTTCTGTACGCTGTTCCCCTTCTGTACCCAGGACAACGGTAGCTCAGGGGGCGAGGGGCCCCCTCAGTGAGTAGCATAAGGAGCTCACAGCAGGGCTGGGCACAGGATGTAAAACCATTGCCCTGGCCTGTTGTGCTCAGTGGTTAGAGCATCAGCCTGCGCACTGAGGGGTTGTGGGTGCAATTTCCAGGCAAGGGCACATACCTTTTTGGTTGTAGGTTCAATCAATCCCCAACTCTGGGCAGGGAGCGTGTGGGAGGCAACCAATAGATGTTATCTCTCACAACGTTTCTCTCTATTTCTCCCCTCGCCCTCCCTTTTACTCTCTTTAGAAAAAAAAAAAAAATGGAAAAAATATCCTCAGGTGAAGACCAGCAACAAAAAACCAAAACAACCCCGACCCCTACCCCCACAAAAACCACCATCCCTCTATCCTTGGGGCCAGCCGGTCACCAAGCCCAAATGAATGAGTGAGTGAGTAGACCAATGGATGGATGCTCACAGACAGGGAGGGGAGGGGGGACAGAAACAAGATCACCGTCAAGTCCTCTGGTTGGCCCCGGCCCCAGCAGCCCTACAGCACACACCCAGCTGCCTCGTTTGGTGAGTACCTGTGACCTGGAGCTGCTGC